TAGCACGTTGATATAGATATGTTAATAAACGTTGTTTTAATGTACATAATTGTTTATCATTCATTGGTAATAAGATTTGATTTTGTATTAATGACCAATAATCATCATTTGAATCGTTTATCGTTCGATCTGTTGAATATTCTATGCGTGTTAGATTCATAGGTTGATCATTATCATCATCATCCTCATCATCATCAGCTACGGTTGACATATCATGATCGTAATCTAAATAATCACAAATGAAAAAATTTTTTGAAAATGCATAAAGCAAAAAAAAAAAATTCTAAAGAGATTTTACTAAATTCTCAAAAACAAAATAAAAAAAAAATTGTTGAATATGATAAATGGATCTATGTTAATCGGTCTGAGTGACAATGGATCGTTATGAAAACTAGTCGCACTATAGAATAAGTTGCAACATTGACAAATACAATCGGCAAAAAGATTATCTTAGCAATATGGACGAATAACAAAGAGGAGCCCATAATGTAACGTACAATCCATTCAAAGACAACAAGTATTAAGCATAAATGTAAATAAGAGTGTTAAGTGAGCTCATATAATTGAGTGTGAAGTCTTATACGTGAAAAAATGGTAGTTGCTTTACAAATTATCTCAACATTCTCTATAATTTTTCTTGTTTTTTAGATTCTCGTTGCTGCTGTTTTTGCTATTTGACAATGAATATAGTGTTCATCTTTTCATAAGATTTCAATGAATGTAAAATGGGAATATCAACAGTCAATTACCGTTTATCAATAAAATTATCTATGAATCTATTCTATGAGATAAATCTTCATTTTTCACATAGATGTATGAAATTGAATCATATGTTCGTAAATTGAAGCTCATAGAAAGTAAAATAGGAACCGTGCTTCTGTCAAACATGTGATCGCTTTCACATTGCGACTGATTGTCGCGTTCTCTTAATACACATCCCACACAACCAATTAACCGAAGTTTCATGGACATCAATAGAGATGATTATTGAATTTTTTTCGAAACATTTTCTTTCAAGAAATGAATTCATAGTAGCAGTATTTCACTTTGTTCTTTCATGTAAATGATTGAAAGATTCGACTGAATGTCAAAAAAAATCATTGTATACACATATGTAACGACGCAAATAACATTCCTCTTGAATAAAATTAGATTACCTGATGATGATGCACCAGTTGGATAAGTAAGAAAACCTCGTCTGATAGGTCGATTTTCACGTTGAAATATCGATTGAGCTAAATTTGCAGGTAAATCATTAGTTTCGGCGATAGAGTTAAAATTTGTTTGTTGTTCTTCAGTACTATTGAATGGTATTCTAGTTGGAGGTGGAGTAAATGGTCGATGGAGTTCTTCTCGAACAAATGAACTACCATTATGTGAGAATAAACGTGATGATGAAGAATCACTGTTCTGATGTTCACTGAAATGATCACGAATACGTTTTCTTTGTTGACCACCGGTTTCATTATCTTCCCATTTATCAAACATTGATGATGAATTTCTTTTAAAATTTTTTTTATTTAATAAACGTGGTGACATTGTTAATAAATGTTTAGGTAAACTATATTTATATAAAAACTCTTCTTTGGTCTGAGCAAATTTTCCTACAGTTAATAATTCAACTAGTTTACCATTTTTTTCATCAATATGATATAAATGTAATTTTTGATGTTGAATCGATAATATAGCTAATGTTGATTTATATATTGTTAAACCAATACGATCAAATTGAAATTCAAGTTGTTGACATATAATACCACGTGAATAATCAATAAGAAATATAAGAAAATGTTCAAAATAAAATCTTGATAATGGATTAAGATCTTCATTTGATTGTACTAATTGATTATATGGTGGATGTTGTTGTTCATTGACTAATTTCGATGCACATATTATAGCATATTGATCAGAAGAAAAAAGACAATATATATGATTACGATTTAATGAATAACCTATAGATGATGAGCGTATTTGTATTGTAACATGATGTTCAAAAATTTTATTGAATGCTTGATCACGTAATTTTTCACAATTAACTGCATCAGATATAAGTTGTCGAGAACTATCACCATTTTCATCCAAACGCGTATAGTTTGTTGATGGAGAACATTGAATTAAATGAGGATAGATACGTTCAAAACCTAAATGAAATTTATTTTAGTTATTTTATTCATTTAATTTATATATTATTGACGACGATGATGATGCAGTATTTATATTATCTTCTTCGCCACTCTCTTATTTGACTCAAGGAAAAAGGTCAACTAGTGCATAATTCTTTTTTAGTGTACTGTAAAACATAGCTTGTTCACTGAAACCCTACAAAAACAGTCTACCAACTTTCGAGATTTGAAATTGGCATCGCTGATCTAATACTTCTTTTTAGATGAAGATTATCGTTTTTAATGTATGTTAAGAATTTTCAATACTTTGAAAATTGAATTATTATCTGAGCTATGTATGGAACTTTTCTTAATCATATTTTGACTAATATTTTATCTCCAATTCTCATACTTAAAATCTTATTTAATGACAAATAGCAAGTTGCTTTTGTATTATATTGACAAATTTTTTATAGTCTTATTTTTTCTCTTCTTGTTTGAATTTTTTTTCGATTTCTTCTATTTAACTACTCTCCAACAGGAAGCTTTTTATATAGCCATTTTTTCTATCATTTAATACTTTTATATGTTTTCAGTAATTGTCTTGATCATTTTCCTTTGTCTATGACAAGTGAAAATACCGTATTTAATTGTCTAAATCTTTATGAGAGACGTTTTGAGGAAATTTTTATGACAGATCCAGATATGTTGAGTTAGGCTCATAAGTGAGCCTTTTATTAACCTGTGAGAAGTGATATACATGTGGCAACTTTTAGAATGGCGGTTATGTTTCTAAACTCACGTCAGGATAGATTGTCTGTTGAACGATACGGTTAAGTTTTTCGGCATTAGTTTCATTGTCAATTATTTTATCGTTTTTTATTTGCTTTCGACATTCACGATTAAAACTATCTTATTTATGATCTTGTACTGTTTTTTGAGCACTAGCTTCTTTTTGTGAAATTCTATATGATGTACTTCTTTTTTTATCTTTTCATTGGGCAACTATGAAACTTAGTTTAATAAAAATATATAATTGAGTGATTTTTTCTTTACAGTTTAATGTTAATTGATTTATAAAAGACGATAAAAATACAGTGTGTTCATGGTTATGCTTAGTTCTTATAAATATTACGTCCGATTCTTTTATTTCTTTTTCTCATTAGAAGAACTAATATTCAGAATATACCTGCTGTGAGAAATGTACTTATAGTCTGAAAAACAATACTGAGATTTATTAACAAAAGAAATAAGATGCAAAGGCTTCCGAAGATACTCTATTTCATAGTAGAATTATATTTGAAATCAATTTTCAAAACAGAAAAAATTGCAAATATTGTTCTGCATATTAGATAATCATTAATCTCTTTTTTTTTATTTATAAGAAGAAATAACTAGATATATTTCAAGTCTCTTAAGATGATATACTTATTGAACTATACTTTACAAGACTAATCGATTATAAAAAAAAATAATGTTCAACTAAGTAACCTCTTCTAAAACGATTCATTTTACTGCTAAATCAATTTTTTTTTGTAATAATTATGAAACATTAAATTGAAATTCTTTGCAAAATAAAAACTCCTCAAATCAAATTTTACTATTAATTGTATTTAATTAATAAAAAAACTTTCTTTACATCTCATAATAATCAAATTACACCATGCAAGGACGTTTATAACACATTGTGTCATAACTCAAAACTATGGCGCAATTACATACAACTGACAAAAAAAGAAAAAAAAAAGAAACCTTGTTATATCGTTTAGGGTAATCTAGTATAATTACTACATCAATAGAATATCTTAGAGAAATATACTCTTTTGATACAGATAATTAACATATTATCTATGAATGTATTGAAAATATACCCAAAATTTTATATTGAAATTAATTTACCTTTATATTTATAAACAATTAAAGATTCAAGATCATGTGAAAAAGCAAGTAAATATTGTCCATTTGGTGAAAATCTTCTTATATATACAGCTTGTGGTACTGTACACATTAAAATAGAATAAGACGGATGGATAGCACGATAAACATTAGTACGTCGTGCAATAAAATGATTTATTCTTGATTTTATATAACCAAGTTCTCGATCACGTAACCAACATACTAAATTATGTTTCGGTATTGCACGATGTAGAAGGTTCTCATGATCGTCATTAATTACTGTACGACTTTGAGAACAATTAAAAAAATTTCTACGTTTTGATGATAACGATGAAGATGATGCCATTTTAATTTCGTTTTGTATTACTAATTACATGTTGGAAAAAAAAATGTGAAAATTCTGTTTCTAAACCTTGTCATACAACCATATGGCAAGAAAATGCAATAAATGATGTTTACTTCAGTATTAATGAAAGATAGAGAGCACTACTATCAATGAAATAATTTATATGGATCGTAGCGAATAAAACAACAAAAATTTTTAAATTTCAGTAAATTTAGTCTGAAAAATTTTTGATTTAAATGAATAAAAAATTTTAAATAATGAACTTTTTTCAATATGAAATAAGTTCGCTACAATCAATGCTTGTGTAGGTACAAAAAGAAAATGGTTGGAAATGATCATGAAGTTTTGTTTTCTTTTTTTTTCTACGTCTGCCTATCATTTATTTCGATATTTGAATGACAAGAAGTTTTATTTAACATAGTTTATTTAGATAGGTCATTTTCTTTTTTATATTTTTTAGAATTAATACAAACCGTCAATTGACGTGTCTGTTTTTCTCCGCGTGTGTGTGCGTGTGATCCAAACATCCCGTTCAATTCTTTTTTGGATTTAATTTAACAGAAGTGTGTGTTTGTGAATACGGCGAATAGCGCAGATTTATTTATTCTTTTAATTATTGCTTTTCTTTTGTCCAACGAATATTTCATTTATTAATTATGTCATCAACACGAACTGCTCCACGAACAACAAATGTTAATAAGACAACATCAACATTAAATACACATCATACAAATGGTTCAACTAATTCATATGATAATAATGATTCAACTGTTAATGTTAACAATATGTCTGAGTAAATAAGAAAAATATTCATTTCTTGCGTTTTATTTTTAGTGTTTTTTGAGAATATTTAGCCGATAAATTTGATTTAGTTTCAACGATAATCAGAAACATAACAGAATATTTTAATTGATTTGTTTGTCTAGTAGAAGAAAACAAGAGAAGTCTGCGAATTTTAATTTTTGCCTGTGCTTTTTAGCTTTATTTGATGAACTATATGAATAAAAAATGTTTGATTTAGAATCGATTCAAATGTACAAAGATCAGTTTTAACAAAGAATACTTCTCAAGTATGTATTCAATTTAGAAAAAAAATATCTTGTTTATTGTAAAAGAATAATTGGTTTTCAATTATTTAGTCGGAAGGTATTTACCGAAATCCTCGATTTGTTCATGCAGTAACTATTGGATTATTGGTAAGTTAATTTTCTAGGAGGAGAAAAAATTTGTACAACGCAAACTGCCCTTCCTCTTCGTTATTTCTTAAAAAGAAATGAAATGAAGCTCTTTTTTCTGTATTCTAATTATTCCTTTTCTAAAACATCTAGAATACAATACTGGACAAAATCTTTCGAACGAATTTGTTTGTAATATATCTTTTGTATAAAGTCGATTTTTGATGAACAGTTTACGTCAAAATTACAGTTATTGTCTATACTATATCCAAAGAAAAGTTCACTCCTAAATGTTGAGTTACATTAGAATTGAACATATAACAATCTGCTGTAGTCAATTTTTGTGGGGCAAAATACTTTGAACGATCTTTCAAAATAAGGTTTTGTTTCCAAAGTTGTACTAAAACAAATTGAGTCTATATAAATGTAAAGAGAAAAACACGAGCTACACGTTAATAAATAGAACTTTTTACAAGCATATTGTCTATTATGAAGTCTCTCTATTTTATGATGAACAAAATATTGTTTATGTAAACTCGATAATTTTCTTTCCAAATATCACAGTCGAAGAAGTATCGGACACTGAATTACATAAAGTGGTAGATAGTTTGAAATTTCACGAAAGACGTTTTCGATTTTTTGAGGGATTATTTACTGAAAGATTTGCAGTGTCCGATACTCTTTCGAATATGATATTTGGAAAGAAATATGATAAATAGTTCCCATCAATATTATGTATTGTTTGTCGTAAAATAGGCAAATTACATTATAGACCATTTTCTTGTAAAGAAATTTTAGCTACTAACGTTTAGCTCGTGTTGTTCTCTTCCCATTTATATAGGTTTAATTTTTTCAGAACAACTGAGATGAAAAATAACTCAGTTAAAAGGATCGTCCAAAAAACTTTATCCAGTATTGTACATTATTTATCTTAAGTTATCATTGAACGCGCACCGGTCTAATAACATACTACTAAAATCATATAATTAAACTTTTAACTTGAATTCAATTCATAATATTTAACTCTACTAACTTTCAATATAAATTTTGACTATTTTATTAATAACGCACGAAAACATTGTTTTTATAGGGTCAACCAGTTATTATTCAAACAACTGAACGAGAACGTTTTCATGGTGTACTTGAAACAATATCTTCCAATGGTGATGTTGTTTTATCAGTTGCTCATCGATTAGATAATAATAATAATGATGTTATGGGATTATCAACATCATTTATTGATCTTTTTGATACAGTTGATAGTTCATCACAATCATTTGAATTAAATAGACGTATTATTCCATCAAGTAATATTGTTGAAATAATTGCTGGTGATATTGATTTATCTGGTAGTGGAAAATGTAAGTCAAAAAAAAAGTCAAAGAAATTTTTTATTCGAAATTTTATATTCAGGTATGCTTGATGAAAATCCAAAAGTAACTCAATTGGAAGATGAACGTTTTAATCGTATGGAACATTTTTATGGTACAGATGAAATTGATCCAGATACATTCGAAGATCTTGATATTGGTGATGATGGAAAAGTAAACAAAAAAGCAGCTACTGAACATGATCTATCTAAAATAATTGCTTTTTTTCTTTATTTTGCTTTCAGGCTGGTTATGATCCAGAAGATATGTTTCATACTAACCGAGAAAAATTTAATACAACAACAGATTTTCATGAAAGCAAATATACGTATGTATTTCTTCGTTTTCATGCAAATGAATTATTTTTATTTTCATTAGAAATGTTCCTATTCGTCAAATGACAACTGATGAATTAGCAGAAATAGAAAAAAAAGCTTCAGAAATTGAAAAAGGAACTCGAAATGATGATATCGATGAAGATGATGCAGGTTATTAGATAAATAATTTTCTGTATTGTAGAAATAAATTTGATATTTTCAGGTGTAAAACGTCCATCTGAATATAATCAAACACATACTGTTGATGATGGAAATAGTAATATTAAAAATAATCAATCATCACGTTCACATACAAGTGATCGTCGATCAGATTTTCGTTATGATGCAGAATATAATGCATCAAAGTAATGCATTTTTTGTTGTTTATTATTATTTAAGCTTTTAAGACTATTCTTTCATAATTAGACGTGGCAGTTGGCGTGAACAACGAACTGGTGGTGGTGCTGGTAATAATCGACGTGGTGGCGGTCCAAATAATTATTCAATGAATAATCCAAAGTCGAATCAACGTTCCGAACAAACACAATATACATCATCACGTTCATCGGAACAATCAACAAATAATCGTCAACAACAATATAAATCTCGTAATAATCGTTTTACAGATAATCGTTCACCACACGAAGGACGTGATTCACCATTACAAACAACAAATGATGAAACAACACGTGGTCAAAGAATCAATAGTGGCAGTTTTTCACAAGGACAAAATTCAGGTCCAACAAGTCCATCAACCACAGTTCCGGCACGTACTATTTATTCAACAAATAATCGACCACCTATTGGAAGAAATTCACCAGCACCATATACAGGTAGTTCATCTTCTCGAAATAATTCAACAACAACAACATCACCATCACCAACAACAGCAGCAACAACAACATCGTATCAAACAAATTCTACTGGAACAGGAAATTATTCTCAACAATCAAATAATAAAATGGCTAAAAAACAATTACGCAGTAATGAAATTAATTTTTATTTTATTGTTTGACTTTTATTTTGTTATATTTAAGATGAACAACAATCAACAACTGATGAATCAGATCAACCAAAACAACAACGTAATCAACAACAAACTTCTTCAAATAATCAATTAAATACAGTTCCACTTAATCGTCCATCACAACTGCATACTCAACAAATAAGACAACAACAACAACAACAACAACAACAACCAATTTCATCATCTAATAATAATGTTCCACCTCCATTAACACTTCCAACTCAAGACGATCATTCATCTAGTCATGAAACAATAAATCCAAATCAATCGGATCAAACAATGCATATAACAAATGCACCTGTTTATACACAGCATACAACTGGAACAATGTATGTTTATGTGTTTTGAAATCATATCCAAACAAAACTTAACAGTTTCTTGTTTTTTTTGTAGAACACCGAGTAATGTTAAAACGAATTCGGGCTTAAATCCAGAAGCTGATGAATTTGTTCCTGTATTTTCGGTAATATTTTAAGTAATTGAAATATTAAAAAAATATTAGGGTTATTTTTATAGCGTGAAAGTAGTTCTCGACCAGAATCTCGTGGAGCAACAAGCTCAATGTCGATCAATACATTTATTCCACATGCTCATCCACAAGCACTTCATCTTTTACAGCAACAACAAGTACAACAAACTCAAGTACAGCAATCATCAATGATTCCACCAACACATCCTCAAAGTGCAGCAGCTTTATATCAACAATATTATCAACCATCATTTACCAATATGGCACCATTTGTTACTTCTACACCACAACAAATGAATGTTAGTATGATGGGCACACAGATGATGCCACCACAAACACAACAACAATTATCTGGTAATGGACCAAATACAAGTAATGCAGGTACAGGTGGAATGACAACACCTAGTGGTAGCTCTGGTTCAACATATAAAACAAGTACTAATCCAGGCCATAGTGGAGATACTGGAACTACTGGTGTTAATAATGTCGCACCGAAAAAAGGTAAATTATCTATAGATGAAATTTTATGAAATGATATTGTTATTGTATATTCAGCTGTTGTATCTGTTCAACGTGCCGAACAATCCAATGTACCTCAACAACAACAAGTAACTGGTGCTCCACCAATGGTATATCCAACTGCATCAATTCGATATTATCAACCTGATTATATGACACAACGTATGAATATCATGCTTTATTGAATATACTCTGAAATAAATGCCAATTTTTCCTTGTTTTTTTTTAAATAATAGAAGCAACTCCACCATCCATGCAATTACAACAAATACCTTTCTATTATCCTATTAATACATCAGGTATTATTCAAGCAGCTGCGGCAGCAGCATCTGGTGTAGGCCCACCTCAAAATATAATGATTCCATCGACTAGTTCATCAGCTGGACCAGCTACACCGGCTCCTCCTTCAATATACTATCCAGGAGTGTATCCAGGTATATTCAAAACTATCTTTTTTCTATCAATTATTTCGTTTTATCATGAATTTAAAAGATCCACGTATGTATGGAGTATACCCGTCAGCAGCATCAGTTAACCCAGGTGGTGTAAATCCGAATTGGCAATTGAATCGCTCACCTCCTCATCAACAACAACAACCAACAGATCAACAACGGGCTTATGTTGGCGGACAAAATGTAGTATCTCAAGTACCTCCACCAACAGGTACACAAAATACTGGCAGTGGTGGTGGTAGTGGTCGATCAGCATCTACATCGGGTCCATCAGGTCAGGCTGGTGCTAGTTCTGCTGGCTCTTCAATGACACCACAATATGCATTGAATGGAAGTGTAGCGGCTACTTATGCATATGGATCACCTGCTGCTTGGTATTCTGCTCAAGCACAAGTTCCATCACCTCAAACAAATATACCTCCTCAAGTAAATGCATATAGTATGATGTTTGATCCATCTCAACAAGCACCTCCACAGCAACCAACATATGTACATCCAAGCCCATATGAGGCTGCTTATTTTCAACAACCACAACAACAACTTACACAACAAGGCTTAGATACAGTGCCACCGGGCAGTTATAACCGTTAAACGTTTTTTTGTCTCTCTTTTTCTCTATATATGTATTTGTGAATGTGCGTGTTTTTTTTTCTTTTGTTCGGGTTCTACGTTTATCTCTCTTGTTGTGTGATACATATTTCTATTTAAACATATAACTTTCTTTTCTTTTTCTTGTTTATCATTGTTCTTTATGTTTGTCTGCCTATTTGTCTCATCCTCTTTTTTTTGGTTCTTTTCCGTTTTTTTTCTCATCATCTGTATCCTTAAGTTAAGTTGCATCTTGCGTTATTCCTTATATTCACACAACAAAAAAAAACTTTAAGTTGACAAGAATTGACAAAAAAAGAGGCAAGTTTAATAAATTATTGTTCCCTATCTAACGGATTTTAGACAACGTATAATAATAGTTGACCTTTGTTTTCTTCTCAATGTCATCATCAATTCTTCGTCCTGAAATTCTTGTTATTGGTAATCGATGTTATCGTATTAATCCATCATCTTTACCAAGTCTTGAATCAATTGATGATCAACAACATCAAGTATATCGAGAGGAAGAAGAAACAGATTATTATGTTGATAATCTAGATGATGATGAACCAAGTTGTAAACCACAACAAAAAAGATCAACAATTGAATCAGAAGAAAAATCTCTAATTGGTATTATAAGATTGTTTTTTCAGAGAATCGAATTCTGTGAAGATAAAATTCTATATTTGCTGTTAGTAAAATACAAAAAAAATTCTTTCCTTCTATGATTTCAGTAAAAATACAAATGCGTAGTCGTTCATTTTAATCTCGATTACTTAATTTAACACAAAAGTCGACAATCAATGAAGGATAAATATTAGTTATCACAAAACTTATGATTCCATATCATTAGTAGAAGTAGTTCTAAATAAGTTTCTTAGAGTTTCTAATTAATTCATGCACTCATAGGTCTCTCTTTTGGTATCGTTTATTTGAGTCTAGAAGAAGGTATAGATGGAAAAGTTAAATAAAGCTAGTGTTTGATCATAAGTTGATCTTATATGCTTGAGATTATTATAAAAGTGTTAGTTAAAACGGAAGCTTCTTTGTTACCATATTGCATGTCAAAGAAAAGATAATTTTTGGACATTTTATAAATAGATTTTGCTAAAGATATTCTAAGGACGATGAGATCTGTTAATGAATGAAACGCACATTTTAAATTTCATAATTTGATTTCTTCTTAAATACTTCTATATGGATTCTAATGCTAACCTATGATTGCTAATATCAGAAGCAATACCTACATTCACTAAAGTCACTTCTGAGATCATTAAAGAAGTTTCTTCAGAAGTAATATTTGAAAATAGTAATAAATTTACTCCTTTGCAAGATGTAATTAATGTCACACCCACCCTCTTTTCATAGGCCGTGAAGAAGAATCAATTGAAGAAGATGATGATACAATTGATTATCTAGCTAAAGAAAATATGTTTGTATGCGAAATGGATATTGCTCCTACATTTTATGGTGTTTTAATTGGTAAAAATGCTGAAAATAAACAAAAAATAGAACAAGATACTAATGCACAAATAATATTTCCACGTCGTGATGAAATTGGTACTGTTAAAATTCGCAGTCGTACTAAAGCCAATGTTCAATCAGCTCGTACACGAATTGAATTAATTATTGATCGAAACCGTCAAATGCAACCATTTACACATTTTCTTTCTATTCCAATTTGTCAATCATCATCATCATCATTATTAAAAAATTTCAAACAAAAATATGAAGAATTTAAAAAAAATGTTCTTGAACAATGTTCCAATGAACGAGGAATAACTAATGAATTATTTCAACAAGTAAATAAATTACATTTAACAATAGCAACATTTGTTTTATTATCAAAATCAGAAATTAATTTTATTAAAGATATTTTACAAGAATGTACAAAAACTTTACTTAAACAATTTATGCCTACAGATAAAGAACGTTTTATCGTACAATTAAAAGGACTTGAATTTATGAATGATGACCCAAGTTTTGTTGATGTACTTTATGCTAAAGTACAATTGATTGATCAAACAAATGCAAATCGTTTACAAAATTTTCTTGATCGTTTAAGTGAAGAATTACTTAATACAGGTCTTATGAAACAAAAATTTGAACGTATCAAATTACATGTAACATTAATGAATTCATTATTACGTAAAGATGATACAGGAATATTAGAAGCACAAAAAACAGCACGGGGGCGAGTAAAAAATCAAGAACGTGAATCATTTGATGCAAAAAATATTTTACGTCTTTTTGGTCAATATGATTTTGGACAAATTGAATTAAATGAATTACATTTAAGTATAATGCATGAACCAGATCGTCAAACAGGTTATTATGGTTGCGAAACGAAAGTTTTATTAAAACCAACAAATTAATAGTTTTTTTTTTCGTCTTGATTAACACTCGACAACGATCATTGGATGTTATAATAAATATGATTGCACAGATTTCAGAACCTGTAGAAGTTGTCAAATTTTTTTTGTCAATTCGAGAATATGATCGTTTATTTTTATTTAAAAGTCGTTTAATTGTTTTAGAGAAAAAGTTGAATATTTATGTCGATAAGTTATAATTTCTCGAATTTTTCTCTATAGTATATTGAAATATCGACTGATATATTATATCATTTCTATATTTTGTCTGAATTACATTTCCAGTAATTGACATTAATGTTTTTTTTTTGTTTGATGCTAATGAATGTCAGTATGATGCAAGACTTTTCGCAGTGCTTTTGTTAGACAAAAAAATCAGTATAGGAATTTTAAAATGATATTGTACGATTGATTTTATTAAACAAGACAGACAGTAATAGAAACTATTATTGATACTAATAAATACTTATAAAAATATTTATGTGATCGGTAAGTTTATATAATAATAATTAGTATTGTGAGTGTGGGCAAGAACTAGATGGACTTCGAGTTTCGCTCGACTGCAGAATCAAGTGCGAAGGTATACATTTCGACTATCGAAAGAAAACAATATCTCATAAAAAGCGAATAACTGTTTCTACAATTTATCACAAATGTTTGTTCCCAGAAGCTATTTATGATCCATTGGAATATAGATTTTTGTGTCATTGTAAATCGCAAAATATACGCTTCGATCAATCAGCTGATTTAAATCTCAAAGTAAGTGAAAAATATTCACTACGAAATTCATTACACAGAGAATTCGATTGATAAGAAGGAGTAGATTTCTAATGAATGCTAGTGATTGATCGCTTCATTATCGCTCTAATTCATTATCTATCATTAGTTGTATTTACAATTGTTTTAACTATACGCACAGAGCGTGACATGTAACTTTTGCTGTTGTCTTTGTTTTAATTATCTTGAAGTTGGGTGAGTATGCGTGTAGGTTTTTTTCTCATTACACTGGCAAACACACTCACAAACGAATATAGTAATCAAGCAAGTTGGTAATAAATTAATTAATTATAACAAAATTTTAAGTATAGAATGGATCAAATTTGATCCGGTAGTTTTTAGCTATAAATCACAATTAACAATATGGGAATCGACCAAATACAGAGTTGGTGACAACCCAGGTCGAACCTATCCAATAGGATCCCATCGGATCCATAAAACATCCGACAATATCCGACCGTCGGATCCGACAGGATGTCGATAGTCGGAATCCCATGATATCCTATGGTTTCCGACGTTTTCCGACACTAGGATACCCTAGGATTCCAATAGCAGGATCCGTCGTACTCCGACAGTTGGAAACCCGTCGGATCCGACAAAATCCGACAGCACCTATTGGTATCTATGTCACCTACATCAATGTTGAAAATAAACCTGAAATCCAACCAGAAAAATAGCAAAGTCTTTCTTAATGCTGGAATTACAGATTGAGGAAAATTCGTGAAATCTAAACTGTTATTATTCTGGGATAAACCAAGCCTTTTCTAATCGACATGACATCCATTAACATTTTTTTGATTTGATGAAGTAGATGAAGAAAAGGCAAAGTGTACAAAAGCCTATTTTATTTAGTATATTTGAAATATTTCGAAGTTTCTTATCATTATTTCTTCCTTCATAAGTTAGTTTTCTATTTTCTACTGTTTGTAGAAATTTTTTCGGATAACTCGTCTTTGATATCAAAATACTTCTTTTTCTCGCACATTAATTTCACGAAAAACGACTTTCATTCTTCTTTTTATTAGAGATTTTTTTATATTGTTTTTTCTAAATTATTCCCTTCCAATGTGACGTTGTAAGCTCATCAGATTTTTCATGAAAAGTTTTTGTTTATATTATATGTGTCAGCGTCCAAACTGAAATTACGTCCAATGTTGCATTGACGTTATTCTGTTCACAAAAATATCAGCTACTCTTTCCATAGACGTTGGATTCGAATTCAATTCGAACTATTTTTTGGAATTATTTTCGCACGATGCCGCTTTAAGTATTACAAGTATTTAGGAAGAAACTAAATTAAGATTCAAAAGAATAATCAAAAGTTTTTACGAAAGTTGTTCTTTTCTAGAGATTTATTCATCACCCCTAAAATTTTATTCACATCTATCAAATGAGAATTGTGTCAAAGAAACTGCCATTGCGTAAACATAAGTCAAAAAAATTCGAATCAAGCGTCTATCTAAAGAGTGATCGATATTTTTGTAAACAAAACCGTGTCAATTCGAGATTGGACGCGTCCAACTGCGGATCCTACTTTCGCCTAGGCCAATCTGAAATTGCACGTAATATCAGTTTGGACGCTGACATATATATTGACACTTATCCATTTTAGATTATGATGTTGTATAAAAATTATAGTAAAGTATGTTTTTTTTATTAGCTGGTTATTTTCTTGTTGCTTCAATTATTTGTTTTGAATGGATATGGTGAGTGAATTTTTTGGAAATAATTTTTCTCATGTTCAATGATTCTTTAAAGTTTAACAAAACTGATGTATATAGAAAATAACATAGGCAAAAAAATTGGTAAAATAGCATTTCTTAATTTTCATTAGATAGGAAGATTTTGTTGAATTGTAACGAAGTAATAACATTCGATTTGTTTTTTTTTTCATATTCAAATAGATCTGGATTTTCTGAGCGAGAATATCATCTTAAAAGTTATTGTTATCTTCATTCTATATTTGCATTTTTGTGTAGATGGATATTGATCTAGAAGATGCATTTCAATTGTCCTGCGAAAAGTTTCAACAGCGTTTAAAAAAGAAAAGAGAGAATTCTCGTCGATCTCGTTTAATATCATGAAGGCATTGAGTTAAATTCTTCAGAATTAATTTCTTCGTCTTCATGTTCATCATCGACAATAGATAAGCCGCCTACGTTTCTTTCGCTCACTGATGTCGACACTCCAAATGATGAAGATGACTTAATATATTTCGATATTGATGAAGATATTCAATCGGTTAATAGTATCGAGGAAATCGACAAATCGGTAGTTTTAAATTTATGTGATGATCCTGATAAAATGGTTGAACAAGAAGTTTCATTTTATTCTACCGAAGTTCTTCATCCATATACTGAAACACTTACAAATACATTTTGTTATCGTCTTGTTAATATTTTTCGTGCATCTAGACTGTCAAAAACCGAATGTCGTACATTTTTTGATCTCATTCATTCTGCTCTACCAAATCCCAACAATTTACCATCCAACATGAACCAATTATTGTCAATGTTTCAATTGAAACATAACTTATTTAAAAAAAGAAAAATTTGTCTTTTATGTTATAAAAAAATAGGTGATGATATAGGCTTTTGTTCTGATTGTCCAACGTCCAATGAAGCTACTACTGCTATTATTTATGATTCAGATATTAAATCCATTCATTCGTTATTATTGAAAAAGCTTTGGAAAAAAATTCGCTCATACAAAGAAGAACTTCAAGCAAACAATGATGCATCGTATACCTATGATATTGGTTTTGCTTATGCTTATCAAAATTTATTACGTCAATTTTCTAATGAAACTTTTATTTAACTTTTTCTTTTTGTGTTTAATTGATTTAAAAATTATCAGATAGTCAAAATAAATAAAAGCTGATGAACCAAAGATATCTTCAGTAGTATATGAATTTGTGCATTATCCATTAAAAATAAAAAGTTGAGACTGAAACATCAGTACTGCAAACAGAATCAAGCTCGGTTATGAAAATAAAACCTCATCGGATCTTGTGGGTTCCAATATTTTCCGATTGACGGATCCAACTATCGGAAATCGTCGGATCCGACATCCGACAACTTCCTGTCGGAATCCTGCACCAAGGATTCCGATGATTTCCGACAAGATCCTATCGGAAGTTGTCGGATCCCTGTCGGAAATCATGGGTTTATTTGGGATATCCTATCGGATCCTGTCGGATCCAAGACTGGGATTGTTCGACCTGGGAATAGTCAAAGTTTATTTCTTCATGTCTTTATTGAAAATCAAAATGAAATATTAACAATTTCATTGTACTGTAAAGAAGCAGCTGAATCATAGTTAGTACTATGTAAATCTGATCATCCTTGACATATTTTTACTAATACTATTGATGGTAATCTTCTACCGGCAGCAGTACGCTATTCATTCACGCTTTCCGCCTTCGTAGACGAAGAACGTAAACTAAAACTAATGCTGCTTTCTAATGGATGAGTTATCTCTACACATTGTAATCATGACATGCTTATTTTTTCCATCATATGTAGTCACCAAAATATATCAACAATGCATTTTAACAAGTCTTTTCAACTTACCAAAACTACTGGACTTCATTGTGCTTGAAAATGAAAATGATTTTCTTACTCTACATCGTGTTTATGACACAACCGACTGTTTCAGAATATTAGAGAACTACACCAATAGCAAAAGCAATGGGTTACGATCCTGCAACAAAGATCTATAATGAGTTACACACAGTACTACTCTGAGAAGAATCGAGAAGGTCCACTGAACCTCACCATTCACGGTAAACATGAGAAACGACTTCAAAATTATAAAAGACGTATGCACCAATAAGGAATCAAATATTAAACAATGCAACGATCCTGAATACTGAATTAATTGTTGGGACTTGCAGATGTCGAAATCTAACAGAGCAACTTCTACGAAGACATCCTTATCAAACGTTGACAGTTAAAAGAACCAAATGATATTTTCACATACAAAACAATATGATAATTTTAACAAGAGTACAAAAACATGACTTTATTTCAATAAATCTTCTATCTGTAAACATGAATCTTCTTCTTGTCATAATATATAAAAACATATTTAAAAACAAATCACAGATTACATAACATTCTCATTCATTTTCCTGAGTCAAATATCATAAAATATGCAAATCCATAGTACTTAAGTTCTTTCTGGCTCCACTTTCCACATGATCACAACCCAGTTCGAAATGCGTCGTAGTTTCCTTTGCACCTTCTACCCTCAAAATTTCTTTCCTATTGAAAACTATGATCATATACTGTTAATTCTATTACTTTGACAAGTCAATTCGCAATAGTGTAAAAAAGAAGATTTTTGTATTAGAGTAATTTAAGCGAAATTGTGCTATCTCTAATAAATTACTCATCATTATGATATATTTTACGGAAATCAACATTAAAATGTTCGGACAAAACAGAAACAAACTCGGTTATCGTAGAACAGTTCAGTATAGCTAACCGTTGGTCATTCTCGCATGAGAAGAGTTCGAAATCGCAAAGGTGAAGAAAACTGTCTTTAAAATCAAACATGCGCAATCCACAGATTGTTATACATGTTCCAAGCTCCGAGCTTATCAGCAGATGAGTGATATAATAGACATTTTTTGTATGAGAGGTGTTCAGAAAGAGATCTATTGGCTACTCTCACCAAGAACGTACAGTTTGGCCCATTATTGCATGATATTTGTTTTGCTTGAAAAATAAATAGAAGTTCTAGTGTGATATTGTTCTTAAAGTCAAAATTGATGTACTAGAATGGTAAAAATGTCTTTAGACTATTCATGGATTAGAAAGAAGTTGGATTTTTATCATGACAGTTTGAACTGTTATATTTTCTCACCTTTCCGATTAAAACGTCAACAAAAGACGAAATATCGTACTGGACAATATTTTTACGTTTTTATATCGATGCAGTTATACTTCTTTAGAAATGACTTGATGTTCTGAAATCTTGCGGAAAATTAAACAAACGTCATATAGAACATTTATTTAAATGTCACTTTGTTTTGTAGTAAAACGCTAAACTTTCACGCCATCTGAAAAACAATTTCATTTTTTTGAAATTCCATGCTAGTCGATATTTTTTTGAATAACTCGGATTTGGATAAAGGAAAATCAATGAATTGTTCGTTGATGGTAGGTCTAAATAATCTGTATTCACGATAAAAATTTCAGAAATCTTGCATCGATTATTGATGAGATATGGGTCTCACAATGAAAAACAATAAAATTCCGTGACACTTTGTTAGATAGTAATATGACGTGTTTTTCTTTTCTTTCTGTTCATCATATATGTGTGATTTTTCCCTTCTCTCCTACTGTTACATATATGTCATCCTTTCTGTCATACATATATATATGTATATATGTCACTTTCTCTTTCTGTTCGATCTCTAGGATTTCTCCAACATAGTGAGTTGTTTATCATCGTATATATAGCTGTGATTTCACTATAATAAACGAGATATATTGTGTGATAGTATAAAATCATCTTTTGTCAACAACATATTGAACTTGGGATAAAACATCAAACCTAACAACTTGGCCACAACGAGCATACTTTCTATTCACACATATCACCACATACACACTACTCTGTTCATCTTTTTCCTTATTTCATGTCATTGTTAATTAGTTCTTTTCATTTCAAAATACATTCGGCTCTCATTCTCACCCCACACCACTCTTCCCAGTCTCGCACTTTTTGAGACTGTTCTGAATAATTGAATACTTGAACACCTAGCATTAAGGCTCTGAGTATTCAGTAATTTTGAAATGGACCGGTAGACAAGTAGTTGATCATGTCGAGTTCATTGATTTTTATTGGTTGTCTTTTCCCATAACTACATCTACTCAAGAAGATGACACGTCAAGAAACAATCTTAGTACATCGTATATATGAAAATTGGAAATATAGATGATTCTATCTTTGTGATCTTATGTCATTCGAAAAATCGAGAATGATTATCACAAGTAAATTCGGTAAACCTGAAATTGGTCGAAAGTAAAAATGTCGAAAATACAAATGTCGAAAAGGATGTGAGTATGAGGTGAGATATTGATGTGGATGGGGTTGTGGGTGTGGATATGTGGATATTTATATGAGTGAGGGTGAGGGTGAAGGTGAAGGTGAAGGTGTAGGTGAGGGTGAGGATATAGATGAGGGTGAGGGTGTGGGTGAGGGTGTAGGTGAGTGTAGATGAGGGTGAAGGTGAGGGTGAGGGTGTGGGTGTGAGTGTATGGTGTCTGTGAGGCGCTGAAGATAGGTGTGAATGCATGTGTGTATATTTGTGTTAATGTGGGTGTATGTGGGGGTGTTCTGATATTGATGTGGGTGCGTGAGAATGTAATTCTGGATGACCTTCCGTCACACAGCTGGACGCTCAGGACTCACACCTCATGCACACCCCTTCTGCTTTCTTGCCTATTCCTCATTTTCGGCCCCTCTCTTTGCGACATGTTATTTTCGATATTTTTTTGAACATTTAAATAGTGTGATTTTTAAATTTTCAAAATTTTTATTTTCGATATTTCTATATTTCGATATTTTTATTTTCGACATCTTTACATTTTGACATTTTTGTTTTTCAACATTTTTATTTTCGACATTTTTATTTTCGATATTTTTATTTTCGGCATTTTTGTTTTTCGACATTTTTATTTTCGGCATTTTTGTTTCGACATTTTTCAGGAGGACCGTAAACTCACCAAGGTTGTGTGTCTCTGTATGGGTCGATATCAGCATGATAAAAGATCGCTAGATCGTCTTTAGGACTCTAGGAAAAAAGCTTGTTATTCATCAAGGCTATAAGCTAGCAATGTCAGTGTTGGGCAGAATGCAAGGACTTAATTTTATCTATGAAATAGTCACATTTGCCTCAATTGCCGTACCAGTTTTAGGTTAGAGTTTATAGAATGGCAGTACTGAAAGTGCGAAAAATGAAAGATAGTAGGTGTTAGTTTTCTTTTATTAGTATAGTATATGTCTAACGAGGGAATCATGGCAGGTGCTAAAAATCTTTTGAGCACAAACTTCGCCCATAAGTGGGGGCTGTATAGACTAGCAACACCCTAAGATGATTAGAGCACATGTTGCGATTTAGCTGCGATATTGACTTTTTACTGTAATTTTTCTGTAGGATTCTATTTTCCGCCAAAATCAAAATACTGGCGCCTCTACTTCCCGCACAGTTTTGTTTCCTTTGCTCGTTTCTTGATCGAGGCTTATGTAAAGATATGAAATCAGTGAGCCAGGCATTGGGCATTTTATTATTAGCGTGGTACTTAATATTTCAGAGAAGAGTCATTCTATAGAAATTATGATAAAAATAGGTAGTTTTCGGGAATTTTCACCATCGAAGGCCTATTTGTATGAAAAATAAGTATAAAATTCAGAATCGACATACAAACGTATACCAGAAACTCTGATTTTTATCGTAAAAGTTTTCCATCAAAATTTTGACCTCTACTCTCTCTAAGCCATTTATTCCTATAACTTTAACCCCTATCCCCTAGAGGTCCAAATTTTGATGGAAAAATTTCAGGATAAAAAATACAGATTCTGGTATACTTTTGCATGCCGATTCCGAATATCGTACTTATTTTTCATACAAATAGACCTTTTATAGTGAAAAACTCCAAATACTACCTATTTTTATGATATTTTCTATGGGAATTGCTAAAAAGTCGATATCTCGACCAAATCGCAGCTTGCGCCCGAATTATCTGAGGGTGCTGCTCGTCTATACTGAATTGACGGAAAATACCGAAAAGGAAAATATCGAATAG